CCGAGGCAAAAGTTATGGCCAAAACAGTTTCAGCCGACGGAAACCCTAGATTTTCGGCCCAAAAGCCGAAAACCTAATTTCCATCACCAAAAATTGTTTCTTGGCCGTCACTACAAGCCTCATGTCCGCCCTTACCTCCAGCGCCACCTCTGCTTCGCTGCCCCACTGCGTTCGTGGCTGTTCTGCTTATGCGAACTGCTTCCAAATCGCCTCCCTTTTTCATGTCTTTTTCAGAATTACGCAGTATAACTCAAAACAACATGAAAAGCCCTACATACATGGATCTATATACAAAACCGCCTATCTACCCACACTTATTATCTGGTGGGAAAAACGATTACAACAAAACCAAAAGGGCTGCGAAGGGAAACAACATACACGCACAAAAAAAAAATTCATTCCATACATTACATGCGAAAACGTTAAAGACAATACCAACTACACGTTTTCTGGCAGAGCCAACAATCCACGAAACCTTGCTCTGATACCAATTGTAGGAACACGCCGGTGAGGGTTGTTCATTCCCACGGATCGTTGTTGGATGCCAACGCGTACATACATGGTATTAAGCTATCCTAAGCATGCTCCTATAAGAATGAACTAGAGATGTACCCTTTTTGGAACCACCAACAGCAATCACGAACAGGTTGATTCCGCTAGAGACCTTCCAGACTGTTCCCAAACCCCGCTCGAACACCGGATGGGCGGCGATCTATCAAACGGAGGGAGACGAATTTTGCTCTTCGTGAAACCCTAGAGCTGACGGCTTGCACCTGTGGTTTTCGCCTCCTTTTAAAAAAAAAAAAAAAAAACGTCACTAGGGTTTGACAAAGACCGCATATTAATAAGTCTCCCAACAGGTAATTGGGCCAGACCGGGGATCTTTAGAAGGTGTTGGGCTCGGGCTCCCTTATAGATCCAAATCTCTATATTCAGCCCTGAATATAATTCGAATCATAAAATATTAATTCATTCCATTAAAGAATTAATATTGCACTCCCAGCCCAACCCAAATTGAATCTGGGCTTCTATTAAACTTAATTAATTCCCCATGTTTAAGATGTTCCACATCCATTAATTAATTAAATCTTCTGACAATTTAATTAATTAATATCTTTTAATTCCTTAAGTAATACCACTCAAAACTTATTATTGTACGGATTAAATCCACCTGCAGGGTTTATACAATAATCCTTATTGAGTTCCTTAAGGGGATGTCATCAACCTGGATGTCCAGGACATGGTGCCTTAATGATAATAAATTAATTACTATGCGAATAATGTAGTTGCCCAAAATACGAAGCATGTTGAATCACTAAGGATTCTCACTTATGGTAAATTAAAGCAACGAACATTTATTCCATATATTTAATTTATTTCATCTAAGGTTAAGAATTAACAGAGTTACCGAGATCTTGGTTCTTCAATGTCAGAATAGAAGAACATATCTCAACTGTGATCCTTTCAATGTGACGCAGCACATTAGTGTAAACTAATAGTCAAGACAAACTAATTCCAAGTTTACACTACAACTTAAACCGATGGTTTTGTCCATAACCATCTCAGTTGTGAAACCCATTTATATTTAATAAAGAACTGACAACAAGATCTTCTGTGTGATCTCCACACACCATGTTGTCTACAATATTAAATAAGTGGACATGCTAATATATATAAAACATAAATAAAAGCAACACAATGTGAAATAACAATTTATTTATTCCAGTTAATAAGGAAATTGAATAATACAAAAGCGTACTAAAAGTTTGCTTTACAGTATAATCCAACAATCTCCCACTTATACTAAAGCTAAACTTTTAGTATACAATGCAAAAACATGCTCTCCCACTTATATTAAAGTCTAGCTGCAATGTATCGTAAACCAAGGCCCTCTACGTGTTTCTCGAAAACCTTAATGGGTAAAGTCTTCGTGAAGGGATCTGCCAAGTTGTCCAACGATGCAATCTTAGTGACAGCTATGTCTCCTCGCTTTACGATGTCTCGTATGATGTGGTACTTCCTTTCTATGTGTTTACTTGCTTTATGAGCTCTAGGTTCTTTTGAGTTTGCCACTGCACCAGCGTTATCACAATAAATGATTACACGCTCAGGCAAACTCTCAGACACCCCTAAGTCATACAAGAAGCTCCTGAGCCATACAGCCTCTTTTGCTGCTTCAGAAGCAGCAACATACTCGGCTTCCATGGTAGAATCTGCGATGCATTTCTGCTTTACGCTTCTCCATGAAATAGCTCCGCCTCCCAAGGTAAACGCATAACCCGAGGTTGACTTTCTCTCATCTCGATCACCTTGAAAATCTGAATCAGTGTAACCCAAAGGAACTAGATTGTCAGACTGGTAAACCAAACTATAATCTCGAGTTCTTTTCAGATACTTGAGAATATGTTTTACCGCAATCCAGTGTCCTTGACCAGGTTTGGACTGATACCTAGCTACCATGCCAACAGCATAGCAGATATCAGGCCTCGTGCACAGCATGGCATACATGAGACTTCCTACAGCCGAAGCATAAGGAATGATAGCCATCTCATCTATCTCCTTTTGTGTTTTAGGACACATATCCTGAGATAGAGCAACTCCATGTCTGAAAGGTAAGAATCCTTTCTTGGAGTTCTGCATGCTGAAACGGGCAAGCACAGTATCAATGTAGGCGGCTTGAGATAAGCACAACATTCTTTTCTTCCGATCACGAGTGACCTTCATACCAAGAATGTACGATGCATCTCCCATGTCCTTCATTTGAAACTGTTCAGAAAGCCATACCTTTACGTCTAATAATATCTTGACATTGTTTCCAATGAGAAGAATATCATCTACGTATAGTATCAAGAATACCACTACGTTTCCGTTGCACCTCTTGTACACACAACTTTCACTTGGACATTGCTCAAATCCAAAGGATTTGATCACCTCATCAAAGCGAATATACCAAGATCTGGAAGCTTGTTTAAGTCCATAAAGAGACTTCTTTAGCTTCCAGACTTGATGCTCTTGGCCTTTCTTCACATAACCCTCAGGTTGCTGCATATAGATGTCCTCATCCAGATTCCCGTTAAGGAATGCTGTCTTGACATCCATTTGCCAAACCTCATAGTCCATGTGACTTGCTATGGATAAGAGTATCCGGATTGACTTTAGCATGGCTACTGGTGAAAAGGTTTCATCATAATCGATGCCCTCTTTCTGGGTAAAACCTTTTGCAACCAACCGTGCCTTGAAGGTAGTAACCTTCCCGTCAGGTCCTCTCTTACGCCTAAAGACCCATTTGCTCCCAATGGCTTTCTTGCCTTTGGGAAGGTCTTTGAGGTCATAGACCTCCATAGCATGCATGGATTCTATTTCTGAATCCATGGCCTTATGCCAAGAATCTGCATCAACATCTTGGATTGCCTCTTTATAGGTACAGGGATCAGGTTCTTGTTCATCACTGGGGACTGAATCCGAGGACTCTCCCACTAACAAGAAACGACTGGGTAATCGAGTTACCCTCCCACTACGCCGAGGCAATTCATGTGTGGTGACATAAGGGTCAACACGCTGTGCAGTTTGTTGTAGTATATCTTCTTGTACACTTGGTACTTGATTGTCTCCCCTTAATTCGTAAAGAATAATTTCACTTGGGGTCTTATGCTCATGCATATAGTCTTCTTCTAAAAACCTGGCATTGGTGCTCACCACTACCTTCTGGTCTTTAGGACTATAAAAACAACCCCCTCGTGTTCCTTTAGGGTATCCTACAAATAGCCGTACTTCCGTCCTAGATGCCAACTTATCAGCTTCCTTGTCCAACACGTGTGCTGGACAGCCCCAAATCCGAATGTGGTTCATGCTGGGCTTTCGCCCGGACCACAATTCTATTGGGGTTTTAGGAACTGATTTGGAAGGCACATAATTCAGGATGTACGCCGCTGTTTCCAAGGCATATCCCCAAAACGAGATGGGTAGAGAAGCATAACTCATCATTGACCTCACCATTTCTAAAAGAGTCCTATTCCTCCTCTCTGCCACGCCATTCTGTTGCGGAGTACCAGGCGCAGTCAACTGGGATGTAATCCCATTCTCTAACAAATATTGCCTAAATTCAGCGCTAAGGTATTCGCCACCACGATCAGACCGTAATGACTTGATACTTTTACCTTGACGGTTCTCCGCTTCTGCCTTGAATTCTCTGAACTTGTCAAAGCATTCAGACTTGCGGCGCATCAAGTAAATGTATCCATATTTTGAGTAGTCATCTGTGAAAGTCACAAAATACTCAAAACCACCCCTAGCTTGAATTGACATAGGCCCACATACATCAGAGTGAATCAATTCTAACACTTCATTAGCCCTATTTCCCTTGGCCTTAAAAGGCCTGGAGGTCATCTTGCCTTCCAAGCAGGACTCGCAGACTGAGAATGGTTCCACTTGGAGAGAGTCCAAGAAACCACTGCTCACTAGTCTTTGGATCCTCCTAAGGTTGACATGGCCCAATCTAAGGTGCCAAAGATATGTTTGATTCGATTTAGAAGATTGTTTTCTTTTTAATGATGAAGATGCATGAACTTGAGTATTGGTTTCAGTTTGATGTGCACTAGTAATAGTATAAAGATTGTTTTCCAATGTGCCAGAACAGATAACAACTTTGTTTCTCATAATAAAAACGCTTTTATTAAAAACAACTGAATATCCATCCACAAAAAGTTTCGAAACTGAAATTAAATTCTTTCTAAAACTTGGCACATACAAAACGTTCTTTAAAACTAAAACTGAATCAGAAAAAGATAAATGCACATCTCCCACTGCAACCGCTGCCACTCTGGTTGCATCTCCCAAGCTTATGATAATCTCGCCCTCACTCAGCTGCCTTAGTGGCAGGAACCCCTGCATTGTACAACAAACATGATCAGTGGCTCTTGTATCTACTACCCAAATACTGGTAGAACTAGCCGCGAAACATGTTTCAACAAGCAAAGTAGAAGACGTACCATCTTTGCCCTTCAGAAGGGGACAATCAGCTTTCCAATGTCCTGTCTTGCTGCATTTAAAGCACTTCCCCTTTGGCTTCTTCACGCCACCAGAAGGCGCGACCGACTTGCTCCCACTATTTGCAGCACCCTTTTTCTTGGCAGGCTTTTTCTTCTTCCCATCTTTCGACGAAGAAGGTCCAGACTGCGCAGAAAACAGCGCCTGTGGAGTCCTACCCATGAGTCCCTCCGCTGCAACCAAATCCACAAGAAGCTCGGCTAAAGTATAGTCCTTCTTGGTCAGGATTGTGTTGAGACGGAAATTCTCGTAGGACTTAGGGAGTGAGTGCAGGATCATATCGATCTTGGTGTCAGCATCGATTTGACCCCCGAGCAGCTCTATCTCATTCAGATTTTCCATCATCTTGAGAACATGCTCACGCACAGAAGTTCCCTCTGGCATGAAGGAAGTCATAATCTTCCTCATTGCCTCAAATCGAGCAGCCCTATCTGACTCACCAAAGAGCTCCTTGAGGCTCAACATCATGTCAGTAGCAGTAGGCAACTTTTCAACCTGCAATTGCAACATATTGGTTATTGACGCCAATATGTAGCAACGGCTCATTTGATCAGCCCTATGCCACTTCCGATGAGCCTCCCTTTCCTCTTCAGTGGATTCCTCAGTTAAGTCTGCTGGAGCAGGGGTGCTTAGGACGAATTTATAGTCATCCGCAGCAAGGACAATGTCCAGATTTCGTTTCCAGTCCAAATAATTCGGACCAACGAGTTTGTTTTGATTGAGAACAGTCATAAGTGGATTGAACGACATTTTGATAACTGAAATAAACAAACAGAAACATGCAAACACGTAAGCAGTAATTCACATTAACACATAAGCATAAAATCATGGGAAAACCTCAAAAACCACGAGATTATACATATCACGACAGCTCAGTAAATCGCACATGCAAGCCATGTTATGACGGACGTTTACACATGCATTCACCAAACAGGCAGCTAGCCTATAATTTCATTATCTCATCAACTTATCCTTATGACGAATGAAATTAATTGCCGATACTTTAGAACTGGCCATGTGAATTAAAACAGGGACCCCGTTGGGGGGTTATATCTAAAATCCACATCTAAGTAATGACCATAATTTAACGCCAAGGACAACTATTTACAGTTAATATGCAACCGAAGGGCAGTCATATTTAATGCAAATAATCTCCTACAGTTATCACGAATTAATTTATCTAGTAAACTTATGAGTGACATATCCGTTAGGGAGGAGACCCCATGGATCCCACGTATGCCACACACTTTACTTAAAATTAAATCACTTTAATTGAAATCTTATCTAGTAAACTTGTGCATGTTAATATCCGTTAGGGAGGAGACCCCATGGATCCCGCGTATAACAAACACTTTACTTAAAGATCAATTATGGAGGCCCATGAATTAATAATAATTCAACTTAAATACTTAGTCATTTAAACTTTAAGGTTTTGACAGCATGCATAGAATAATTAAATTCCTAGCATGCTCCTAACATGCTTGTAAATTTAAATCATGCCTGTCACATAATCATGCATATCACATAATACTTTGGCAAGCATTAATTTAAATACATCCACAAAGCAATAAAAGGCAGAAAATTAAAAGCACACCCACGCAGCCCTTAAAACCCTAACCAATAGCCTAAGACAACCATTACAGGATTAAAAGGGGCGCGGACAGATGCTAGACATCGGCCTCTCACGCGATGGAAAAACTGGAACCGGGCCGCCTCGGGAAGAAGTCGCGAAAACTTCGTGAAGACGATCGAATTTGGCTGCGGCATTCGCCGTTACGGCGTAGCTGTAATTCGTGTAGATCTCGTCCTCCCGTTTCCGAAAAGGTATCATGGGCTGAAAACGGACAACCGAGGCAAAAGTTATGGCCAAAACAGTTTCAGCCGACGGAAACCCTAGATTTTCGGCCCAAAAGCCGAAAACCTAATTTCCATCACCAAAAATTGTTTCTTGGCCGTCACTACAAGCCTCATGTCCGCCCTTACCTCCAGCGCCACCTCTGCTTCGCTGCCCCACTGCGTTCGTGGCTGTTCTGCTTATGCGAACTGCTTCCAAATCGCCTCCCTTTTTCATGTCTTTTTCAGAATTACGCAGTATAACTCAAAACAACATGAAAAGCCCTACATACATGGATCTATATACAAAACCGCCTATCTACCCACACTTATTATCTGGTGGGAAAAACGATTACAACAAAACCAAAAGGGCTGCGAAGGGAAACAACATACACGCACAAAAAAAAAATTCATTCCATACATTACATGCGAAAACGTTAAAGACAATACCAACTACACGTTTTCTGGCAGAGCCAACAATCCACGAAACCTTGCTCTGATACCAATTGTAGGAACACGCCGGTGAGGGTTGTTCATTCCCACGGATCGTTGTTGGATGCCAACGCGTACATACATGGTATTAAGCGATCCTAAGCATGCTCCTATAAGAATGAACTAGAGATGTACCCTTTTTGGAACCACCAACAGCAATCACGAACAGGTTGATTCCGCTAGAGACCTTCCAGACTGTTCCCAAACCCCGCTCGAACACCGGATGGGCGGCGATCTATCAAACGGAGGGAGACGAATTTTGCTCTTCGTGAAACCCTAGAGCTGACGGCTTGCACCTGTGGTTTTCGCCTCCTTTTAAAAAAAAAAAAAAAAAAAAAACGTCACTAGGGTTTGACAAAGACCGCATATTAATAAGTCTCCCAACAGGTAATTGGGCCAGACCGGGGATCTTTAGAAGGTGTTGGGCTCGGGCTCCCTTATAGATCCAAATCTCTATATTCAGCCCTGAATATAATTCGAATCATAAAATATTAATTCATTCCATTAAAGAATTAATATTGCACTCCCAGCCCAACCCAAATTGAATCTGGGCTTCTATTAAACTTAATTAATTCCCCATGTTTAAGATGTTCCACATCCATTAATTAATTAAATCTTCTGACAATTTAATTAATTAATATCTTTTAATTCCTTAAGTAATACCACTCAAAACTTATTATTGTACGGATTAAATCCACCTGCAGGGTTTATACAATAATCCTTATTGAGTTCCTTAAGGGGATGTCATCAACCTGGATGTCCAGGACATGGTGCCTTAATGATAATAAATTAATTACTATGCGAATAATGTAGTTGCCCAAAATACGAAGCATGTTGAATCACTAAGGATTCTCACTTATGGTAAATTAAAGCAACGAACATTTATTCCATATATTTAATTTATTTCATCTAAGGTTAAGAATTAACAGAGTTACCGAGATCTTGGTTCTTCAATGTCAGAATAGAAGAACATATCTCAACTGTGATCCTTTCAATGTGACGCAGCACATTAGTGTAAACTAATAGTCAAGACAAACTAATTCCAAGTTTACACTACAACTTAAACCGATGGTTTTGTCCATAACCATCTCAGTTGTGAAACCCATTTATATTTAATAAAGAACTGACAACAAGATCTTCTGTGTGATCTCCACACACCATGTTGTCTACAATATTAAATAAGTGGACATGCTAATATATATAAAACATAAATAAAAGCAACACAATGTGAAATAACAATTTATTTATTCCAGTTAATAAGGAAATTGAATAATACAAAAGCGTACTAAAAGTTTGCTTTACAGTATAATCCAACATCACCCACACAATTGTTTTGATTATTCTCGCACAACACAATTGCATAATCATCCGGGTCACAACTGCACAATCATCGATTTAAGGTTCCAAAATTTGATTTATTTTTCAATATTTTTTACATTTGATTCGATTCGGATATTAGCAAATAGTATAAATATTTTTGGTTATATGGTTTATAGTTTCGAATATTTATTTGGCTCGGTTCAATTTAGATATTAAATACTTGCATATTTGCAAGAATTCGAACCTTGCCCACCCCGAATATTAACCATTATTTTAATTCATCTCATACCCTCGTATTTAAAACAACTCAAACATAAATGACACCATAGATTCTGTGCAGTATTACAATCTATCGAAATGGAAGCATTAGGAAATCATCCTTACATGGATTTGATAAGATAAGCATCGAGTTCCTGAAATTTCTTGAATGTGAATTCCTTGATGATGTCGGAATTTGGAAAATATTCATTGGCCTTGTCGTAGTTACACGACCACTTCACCATGGAGCCATCCCCTTTCGAGCTCACCATAGTCTTCCAATTGAAATTGTTTTAGTAGTCAAGCAAATCCCCGCCTATCACTGTGTATTCCACTGTCTTGTTCACCTCATCAAACTTTTCTAACTTCATCTTTTTGCTCGATATCCCGGGTATTCCTACACATAAGAAAGTATATATTGTTAGAAATATAATAAAAATATTATATTGCAAGAATATAATTATCGAAATAAATTCGATAATCGCATTGATTCGAGGTAGTTACTCTCTTTGTAGAACGAATATGCTCCGGTAGCGCTTTCGGTTCGTGGTAGAATATTTTCTAAGATAAAACGATGTTCATCTTCAGATTAGGTGGCACTCCAATATTTCGGAGTTAAAATAAACTAAATGAGGAGTGTTGAGATATTTTAAATTTATATTTAGTTTAAAATTTTGGTTAGATTATTTTTGATTGGATTATTTTAGATTTGGTATTTTTAGATTGTGATTTGATCTTATCCATAAGTTAGATTATTTTAGTTTCTAACGAGTCTCTTCCCGGTGCCTATATATAAACCTTTATTTTTATGATCAATAATAATGCAATCTTTAGGATTTCCGTAAATTTAATTTTAACATAATATCAGAGCCTATTTTTCTTTTGAAATAAACATAGACCGCTAACCCTCCTTTCTCCAGGTACATTCAACCTGGAATGTACCTGGACGTCTTGCAGATCATGTCTATAGTTAGAAGTCTGATGGCGAATTTATCTGCGAAATCTGTCTCTGAAATCTATCTGCGAATAGAAAAAAAATAAAAATAGAAGTCTGTGATTTGACTGTTATTTGTGTGGCTGCGATCTGTATGTTTGCGATTTATTTGTTGCCTACAATCTCTTTGTTGTGTGTGTTCTGCCTTATGTCTATGATCTGTCCATTGTTTATGTTCTTTGTGTTTTATGTGATTTGTCTATGTTTGACTCCAATTCTATTCAGAGTCTTATTTGTGTATCTACAATTTGTCTGCGTATTTGTTTGTCTTTAACTATGATTCCTAGTCAAAGTTCTATATGCGTTTGACTATGATTTCATTCAAAGTCCTGTATGTGTTCAACCCCGACTCCTGGTCAAGAGTTATGTCTGCATATTCGTCTATGAACCTCACTCTGCTTCCGACTCAGATTCCATTCGGGCAAACTCAAATTAGTTCTACGATACTACTTGAGTTTGGGAGAGAAAGTTGAGATATTTTAGTTTTATATTTAGTTTAAGATTTGGTTGGATTAGTTTTGATTAATTTATTAGAGATTTGATAGTTTTATATTCTGATTTGATCTTATCTGTAAGTAAGTTAATTTGATTTGAATATATCAAGTCTCTTCATGGTGCCTATGTAGAGACTTTTATTTTAATGATCAATAATAATGTAATCTTTAGATTTTTTGTAAATTTAATTCTAACAAGGATGAATGAGATTGTTTTGGAAAAAGAAAAAGGGAAGAATTGGACCGGAATTCACCGGAAAGAACTAGAGGGAGAAGAGAGGAAGTAAGGGAGAATGAGGATTGTTTTTGGCGTGTATAAAAAATGATGAAAATAGCTCTATCTATAGGCACTCACGGATTAAAACGGTGAGAGATTAATTGCCCGCTAATAAATTCAAATATTAAACATTATCTGCGATTTGAATTTGAATTTGAATTGCATAACCTATCATGCATTATTAAAGCTTGCATGTAGTGTTTGATTTGCCATACATGTATCCCAAAATCTTCATGCATGCGCGTGCATACAATCATGAATTCAACTTGGCTTTTTTTTTTTTTTTTTCATTTGCATGCATACATGCATTTAATTTGGACTAATTCATGGTTCAATAAATGCTTAATTCTTTGGGCTTTGGGTTTGACATGAAATATTTGTTATCTCGATTAAGTTTCTGAGCATTTAGTATTCACCAATCTCAAGCCTCTAGGACCAATAATGGTCTAGGTGAGCAGCGTACGCCAATGACTCACCGATATTCATATGTCTAAACCAAAATTTATAATAATCATCATATAACCAACATGTATTTCAACTTACTGAATAATTAATTTAAAAAATTATGAATTTAATTTATAAATTAAATTATATCGACTAAATTATAAACCGATTATCCTAAAATTATATGTATAATCCTTTGTATATTTGCTTACTTGTATTATAAAACCAAAATTTGCATTACTCTAATATGAAAATATTAGATCAAATAATTCTTTACTCCTATGAAAATTTAAAACATCCAAAATAACATATAAAACCAAAGTAATCACATATTGTGGATTTGTAAACTTGCAAATTTAATGTATATCTATAAGTAATACTTATCTTATTTGTTTCTTCAATAGTAATCACATATTGTGGATTTTTAAACTTGGGCATTTGGATTAACTTAAAAAAAAATCAATAGAAACAAACAATAAAAGCATAAATTAAATAATTTGATTTAATATTTGAATAAATTTTTACAAAAGCAATTTTTTGCTTAGACTAGATTTTCAATCTTTCCTTTTGAATTATTATAGTAATATACATAAGGATATACCGGATTTTAGTTTAACTAGACGAATCGAGCCTTCAGACTGTCCATCACCTTTGAGGACCTCAATGCTCTTATATCTGTGAGGCATGGCTTTGGGGAACAAAGTGGTCGAGTTCCTTAGGGCCTCCCATATCTTGTTTGTGCTCGATTTCAATTCCACTTTTAATAGAAAAAGTTATAAAAACTCTTGTATTTTCAATTATAGGAGTTTTGAAAACTCCTACACTTTTAATTTTAATTTATACTTGGGTAAATTATATAGCAATCTCTTATATATTTTTAGTATAAATGTATAAAATACTCTGTATTTTTTTTATTTACTGCGAGAAATCCTTTAATTTAAAATTTGTACAAACCACTTTCCTTACTCAAAGTTCTAAATAAATAAAGACCTAAATTATAAAGTTTTATACAAATAAAATACCTAAAATATCTTAAATAATTTTTTTAATAAAATAAATAAGTGAATAATTGATCAATTATTTATTATTATAATTTTGTAAAAATCAGATAGCAATTTGTCTCATAAAATAATAAAATGAAGGATTAATGAATTATTTATATATTTATATTATTAAAAAAATATTTAAGATATTTTATCGTTTTTATTTGTATAAAACTTGCATTATTGAGTTCATATTTACAATCAAATATTAGTTTTGGACAAAAATGATGTTTCGTGCAAATTTTACATTAACACAAGAGAGTTTCATGCAATAAATAAAATACAAAGTGTTTATGCATTTTAACTAAAATACAAGGGAATTTTATATAATTTACCCTTTAAACTTTCTTAAATAATTTTGTTGTATTTCAAATATTTGTATGGGGCATATCTTTCATTTCTTAAATAAAATTTCTTTTCAAAAAAATCCTATATCAGGGTATTATTTTTTGGACTGAATTATTTTATAATCTTTATACAATATTTTATTTTATATTGTTAGTAAGCTATTTATATATATATATATATAATGTATATTTTTTGTTTGGTTACAATATTTTTTTTATATGATATTTATTTTGACATTTGTTTTTAATAACTTGTTATTTAGTATTTGTGCATTGTATTTTGTAAAATCTTATAGTTTATTTTGGTATAATTTCTAAGTTTATATTTATTGTATTATTTAAATGTATAATGCATTTATGTGGATTTTTTTTATAATATTACTTTTATATATTGCTTATTTTAGCATTATTTGTTTATTTTATATACAATATAAAACAAAATATTGCTTAAAAAGAATATAAAAAAAATTATTGTATAAAAACTATAAAATAGTTTTGTAAGAAAAAAAAAATAATACTTGAAAAATAGATATTTGAGGAGAAAAATTGCTTCGGACACCCCAGACACAAAATTTGGAATACGATCGCTTAACAATTAAAATAAAAAAGTATAAAAATTATCAAAACTCCTATAATAAAAATATATTAGGATTCTCATAAGTACTTTATGTGAAAAAGTTTTCAAAATTCTTAAATTACCAATTATAGGAGTTTTGAAAAATATTATAATTCTCCTATATTGATGACATTCAATGTGACGGTACAAGGTAGTTGAAAAAGAAAATAAAAATTTTGAAAATCTCTATATTTAATATTTCGGATGTTTTCAAAACTTTTATTATTTTGCATATAGTAATTTTGAAAACTTCTATAATTTATAAATATAGTAATTTTATATACTCGTTTGAGGGCTAAACTTTTAAATTATACTTTGTCAGGCTATTTTTTTAAAAGGCCCAAGGTTTGGACTCATGAGCGGAAAGTTTTAATAACTTTCAAAATTTACACTATTTTTTTATAAATGTATTTTTTATGTTAAACATGCATAATTGTGCTGGTAATATAAAAAAGTTATTATTTCATATTGAATTATTGACTTTTGTAGATAAATAAAATATATCCATTGTATATATTATATTTTTTATACTCCCTCTGTCCCATGTATTGGGCCTATTAATGTAGATACGAGAATTTAGGTAAAATGTAATTAGTAAATAATTAAGAAGTGTATTAGTAAAAATAATTATCGTATAATAAAAATAATTGTGGATTAAGATTAAGATAATTAAATAGTTTAATTAAGATTAAAAAAATTATAAAATTTAAAATTTAAAATGAAATTAAAGTGTATAATTATATTTCCAAAAAAGAAATTGACAAATTATGTGGGACGAACGAAAATAGAAAATAAGGACAAATTATATGGGACGGAGGAAGTAATATTTATAGAGGATCCAAAATAAGTTACGTGAACAAACCTAAATGCTCAAAAGTTTATAAATTCACATGCAATGTTATAATTAAGGTGGTTCTTAGATTTTAATGGGCACGGGACAAATACAATAAAATAAATCTTTATTTAATTTTTTATATAAATAATACTACCTCCGTCCAACCAGAAGTCACCATATATTTTTACGCAATTGTATTTAATGTTAAAAATATTTTTATATTTGTATAGTTTACTCCAAAATTATGATTGTATTTATAGTACAAGAGACTAATAGATGTATTTTTGTCATTTTCTCTTTATTTGTTTGTATTACTCTTTGATATAATAATTATTATTTAAAGATTAACAAAAAAAAAAAGCCACAGTATATTTTGTGGCCGACAGAAGTAGTATAAAAATAATAAATTTTAAATAGTTGTTTTATTTTATTTTTAAAATTTTGAAAATATTTTATTACTATTTTAATGTTATACATGCATTTTTAATACTTATATATACTATTTTTCTTTTATTTTTTTAATGAAATGCCCCCAAATGGTCCTAAAATTTTTAGGCCATGGGCATTGGCCTAGACAGCTAGACTGTTCATGCTCAGTAGGGCCGTATATATAGTGATAATGAAACCTAAAACTATTATCATTATTTAATGATGTATGAATAATTAACTATAAATTAAATATATTTCATTGTTTAATACTATAATTTTATATTAAATTGTGTTAAAAAAAATATAGTTATATTTTATTTAGTAAATTAATTTATTTTGTTAATATCATTTGTTTAACAAAGTTAGATAATATTTATATTTATATTTGTAAACTTTAAATTAATAAAAACATGTTATATTGGTTCCTTTTAGAATATAAAATTTATGAATTATTAAAATATTATAAAATCTAAATATAATAACAATTTAGTATATATATTACAAAAACTATTTTATATAATATATAATATCTATAACACATGATGTGCCATTCATCCTAAATTAATTAGAATACATGACAAGGTGAAATTTCTTTAATTGCTCTACACAACAGTACCAATGAAATAAATATCTTCTCATTATTTTTTTTTTTATTTTTTAATTTTTTAATTTTTTATTTTTTTAATATAATGCGAGATGCGTCGTAAATTAATTGGAGTACATGACATAAAAGGTGAAATTTCTTTAGTTGCTCTACACAGCGGTACCGATGAAATAAATATCTTTTTCTTTTTTTTTTATAATATGATGCGGAGATGCACCCATTGCGGATGGTCGATGTAACTATTTATAATTTTTTTATTTATTTTTTAATTAATAAATATATTTACAATATATATTTTAAAACATACTATCTTTTATAAAATTAATTAATATCATTTATAGATACATATACATTAATTCGGCCCGAGTATGGTGCTGAACTACTGAATAGATTTAACTATTGGATATAAAATAAAGTTTGGATCCTACGCTGATGTATTAAATTAACACTATAAGAAAAAATCATTTTTGTAACAAAATTTTTTTGTCACAAAATCTACTTTTTCCGTTACTAATGACATTAGAGACAGAATTATGAATGGAATTACATTAGCTACGTGAACGTTAGGAACGGAATTCCATTACAAGTGTATTATTTTTTGTAGTGTTAATTCAGCTTATGCTGAATTAATTTTAACCATTCATTTATGTTAATTAAAAACAATAATTTAATTGATTTAACTTATCAATGGCTAAGATTTAGTTTAGCAGTGCTGAATAATGAAATTTCAGCCTGTTATTCAAGTTGTATAAAATAGATAAACAATCTATATTAATTTAATGGGTAAATCAAATCAGTATTAATGATGACATTAATTTTATCATTTATAAACGTGAAATTAAGCTTTATAATTAGGGAAAATATATAATTATATAGATCATTTTATTTTTAATTACAAATAAATTAAAATTTAGTTAAAAAAAAATTCGCAGCAAAAAATAATAATTCATAGCAAAAAGGTTTTTGCGACGAAAATCATTTGGTCGCCTATATTGCGTTAGTAAATATCTTTGGTGACAAATATGACTTTTTTTAACAAGAAATAAGTTTTTTAAAAGAAAGAAAGAGAGAGATAACTACGAAAATATGATTTTTTACGATAAAATTAAAATTCATAACAAAATAGTTTTAGTAACAAAATATGTATAATTTTTAGCCAAATAGTTTTAGTTATGAAAAATAATTTTGTAGCTAAAAACCTTTTTGCTATGAAAGTAGAAGTTTCTAGCAAAAATATTTTAGTGACGAAATTAATTTTGTAGGGCATAATTTATATTTACCGATGAAATTAACTTTTGTTGTTAAATGACAGATCTTAATTACAAAAATATTTCATATATAAAAATATTGTAACTAATTAGATAATTTTTTGTAGTGGTCTGTGGGGTAAATCATTTTAGACAATAAAAATTAAAAAAAAATTTCGATATCGTACAATCGAAGTATAAAATCATCTGAAAAAGTTAGCATTGTTCAACGTTATGTATTCAATTGAAAAAGAAACCTACATCTTTCAAAATGATGGGAATGATGATTACATTAATCGAACATTGAATCCCGAAGTTCCGTTTTGAAAGTAAAATTCTATATATTTTTTATTTTACCACATCATATATGTATTCTAAAAATATCACCTTAAACAATACTCCCTCCGTTCCGCGAAATTAGTCATGTTTCTTTTGGGTGCGGAGTTTAAGAAATATTGGTTTAGATAATTAATTAGTGTAATTAATTGATGTAATATTTTATAGATAAATTATTTCTATAGTTTGGGATAAAAAAATAAAAACTGAAATGTTTGTTTAAATTTTTTTAGTTTTTTATGTTAGAATATTTAATACATTTAATTAATTTTTAGAAAAAAAATTAACTGAAGAAAAATAAATTATTGTAATAATTATAATGCAATTAAAACAATATCAATAAATTTATATATTTCATAAAAATATTAATTTAAACAAAACCTCAAAAAAAAATTTCCTCCAAAACGATTTCCCCCAAAAAAATTCATAAAGAACTGTCTGTTTAATTCCCTCAACAATTTGATCACATCAATCACAATTCCTAAACAAAATTAAAACATAACAGTCAATGGATGAATACATATGCAATTTTCAAAATAAAACATTCATTCACAGCAAACCACGTGTAATATTTTAAAATTTTATTTCTTGGCCAAAACACAATCCAGACACTACTTTTCATTTACAAAAAGAGCTCTCAACATAGCTTCCATCATTTACAAAAATAGTATACAAACACCCTGCACAAGTTGTTGCACACTACTACTTTCAAAATGAATATTCATCGTTAAACTTGTTGCACAACAAACATTACATCCAAAACCAACACCCATCCAGACTAGCAGGTACAAAGGTAAATAGGGTGTTAATTTAGATAACATACCCCATACCATAATTCACTTACAATCTTTGTTGTTATCTAGGTTTGTATCTTGTTGCATGAGATCAAAATCAACCTGTGAATGAGAATCAAGAAAGACATTAACGTGTCAACAAAAAATGCTATTGGGCAATACCTACTACAGGATTGTATAAATGGAAAACCTAAATGAGGTACAATTTCTGAAGCAGCAAAACTATATTCAGTATGTTCTCGAACGGTGAGTCGTTTATGGACAGAAGCAAAGAAACAACAAAGCACATGCGAAGCAATAGCATTTGTGAAACGGAAGTATAAACCAAGAGCTAAAAAAACAACTTGATCTTGTCTTAATTGAAAGCATTGTGCCACGTAATCGTGGCATGATACAAAAGCTTGCCAAACAAATCAATTGCTTCAAAGTCAATGTTTGGCGATAGATTCAATGTGGTGCAATTAGACCACATACTAGTGCTATAACAGCTCCCAATAGGCAACTCTAGCTTTCATTTGCTCTTGAATCAATTATTTGGGAAACTAGACGAAAGGTATTGGAGTTTAAAACAATGACGAACACAATTCATATTGACGAGAAGTGGTTTTACCTTACGCAGAGCACAAAAAAGTTTTATTTAACATCAAGTGAGGCTGACCCAGATTGATCTTGCCAGAGTAAAAAGTTTATCACGAAAGTGATGTTCATGTATGTTGTTAGTCGGCCAATCTTTGCTCCATATGGTACTACTCTTTTTTATGGAAAGATAGGCATTATTCTATTCACATGTATAGTTCCAGCAAAGAGGTCAAGCAAAAATAGTCCAGCTGGTACTTTGGAGACTAATACGATTGATTATATCACAAGAGATGTAGTTAAAGCTTGCCTAATTAATCAGGTATATATATAGCCACAATGAAATAATGATGTTTAATGCTTGGTGTTAATTTATCACTAATTTTTTGAATTTAATGTTTGGTGTTTATCATATTTTATAAAATTTCAGGTGATTCCAACTATAAAGGAGAAATGGCCGTCTTGCTAAGTAGAACAAGTTACATTCAACAAAACAATGTGAAACCCTATATTCGCAATGATGATGTTGATTTTTGACAAACAACTATTAGTGATGGATTCAATATTCACTTGATTAATCACCTCCAAATTCACCTGATCTTAACGTAAATAACTTGGGATGGTTTTGTGCAATCCAAAGTATCCAGATAGAGTCGAACTGCTACACAGTGGATGATTTAGTTATTGTTGTTGTACGCTTGTAATTTGATGGTTTAACGGCGCAGACCTTGAACAATGTATTTCTTAGCCTACAAAGTTGTTTGGTTGAGATAATGAAGGCTAGAGGACATAACAATTACAAGATTCCACAGATGAACAAGCATGGATTAACTCAAAGGAATGAGCTACCTATCAATTTGAAGGTGACACCTGAGTTAATTAGAGATTGTATTGATTTCATAAATGAATTAGAAGATCACATTGGATTGTTGATAAGCTCTATGTGTATTTAGAAGCACTTAATGCTTAATATGTTTGTGCATTGTTTTTTGCGACCTACCATAAGGTTGTTTTTTAACATTAGATGTATAAATTTTGTATATGTATTTTTTTAAATTTTGATGTTTATATTTTGTAGAAGCTGTTGTATAGACTAAAATATAGACAATGATATATGATCCATATTTATATGAAAACTCTTACTTACTCGTTCTAGTATGGTTGATGCCTATTTACAACATATTTGTCGGTTATGTAACCATTTTCCTGCATGTATGTATGTGATTATTAATAGCTTTGTAATTTAAATAATTCGATAAAGTTTACAAAGAACTCTCACCTGTGCAATTATTTATGGTTGTTTGTGCTTCCTATATGTATGTGAAAATAAAAATAAAAAATGTTAGACAAACTAAAAGAATAACCAAAGAAGAATAACAAATAATCCAAAAAACATAATACAAGATTATTACATCTTGGTTTTTGAAAGAAACATAACCAAACTCGATTGATTTATCAGATACTTGATCCAACATAACTCTTGCAGACCTATCCATTATTTTAGTAAAAAACACCCCAACTTTATTATCACAAGAAAATAATGTCGAAAATAAAAGTGGATGAAGAATTAAATAGCTACAAAACATACCTGCAATACAGGAAAACCGAGAAAAATTTAAACAACAAACCATCAGTGACATCGGAACTCAAATTTACAACTACTATGATGAAGTGGTCTACATAAAAGCCAACACCCTTTGATTTCTTATTTGTTTCTACCACTTTCCATTGGGATTGATCAAACTCTGTTTCTATATTTGTTGTGCTCCTATGCAAAAGAGGGTAACTATGTTTAAAGAAAAATATGACACTATCATATTCTCTCATGATTTGTATGTGCATCTGACAAAGAAATAGTAAAATAGTAAATATTTAACTGGTTAGTATGATTGTTTTTAAATAAGCAAGGAAAATAAATAATTTGCATAAGATCTACTAACTTCTCGTCACAATGTTTGATTCATCAGCCCAATTTGGATCTATTTTCCAATCTCCAATCGCCATCCTATTGACCTTCTTATCTACTGCTACTGGCCATTTAAAGCCCTCACCCGCAGAATTTGATGTTTCCTCAATTATAGAAGAAATAATTTATTCAAATTTGGGAGAGTCGGGACTCACTGAGACAGGTACCACATCATAACATTCTAATATGCTATCAGTTTCCTTGGATGAACATAATGGGAAAGGGAAAAATAATTGTTAAATAAATAAGAATAATGAATTACAAAAATATTTGTGAAAAATAGTGAGGATAAGTATAAAAAAGTTTTGCAAACAAACTGATGAATTGATTTTTTCTAGAAATGCAAATAGTTAGCCTTCACTTCCAACAATAACGATCGATAATAACTTTCCACTGTATTGTGTGTGCAAATTTTTTCAGATTATAAACACCACAACAAAAATTTTGACTATATTTTCACTCATTCCAAATCAAAATTTAACTTTATGATAGATTTATAACAAAATTCATAATATCTCAAGTGATTTTCATTCCAATTACAATAAATAAATAATAATCCAAATACAAAGTGCATATTGTCGCAACAAAGTTCATCTTATCCTAATTATTTTCCAATCGAATCATTTTAAGCTAAAAAATATAAAGAAGATTATTAAAATTTTCAAAAAATTTTAAATCCAAGAAAACCCAAAAAACTCAAGAAAATAAAAATCACTAAAGAAGTATCGTGCAGAAAATAGAACGGGAAGAACCGAGTGAAGTAGAAAGTCTATTTCAAGCGAAGCCGAGTAAATCGTGACTAAATAAGTTGAAATCGCAACTAATATATATCAAAATTGAAACAATAATGAGAAAATCAAACTAAAAAACTTCATCGAAAGGAATCACCGAATCGATAAATCGGAACTTCTCCAAATACACACAACACATAAAATTACTTAGAGATTGAAGTAGTACCTGATTTCCGCTAGCATCGACAATGGGCGCAAGAAAATTTTCGATTTCAAAACATGTAGCATAAATGACGAAGAAGCAAATCGAAGGAAGAAGCAAATCGAAGGAAGAAGCGGATCAAACGAAAGAAGGGTTTGAAAGATTGAAATGCGTGTTTCATTTGCTATGTACTGTTTTTTATTAAAAATAGAATTTTAGATTATTTTTATTAATTTAGATGGTTAGACTAATTAGGGTAATTAGTGTTTTTATTTTATGTTATTTTTGTTAATTATTACCAAATAAGGAAAGTAGACTAATTTGGTGGGATAACTAAAAATGAAAAAATGGACTAATTTCGCAGGACGGAAGAAGTATATGAGAGTATTTCGGTTATAGATGTCCATCATATATCATTTTTTATATTTTAGGAGGGGGCTATGTATTCTATACTTGTTCTTGTTTTTCGCCCTCATAAATTTCAAAACTGTCATATCAACATTTCTAAGAATTTTTTTATATATATTTTATTTTCAAAATTTTAATAAAATATACCACCAAATTGAATTTAACAAAAATTCTTTGAAAATCCATAGTTATAACTTTGAAAATATAAAATTTAGCTAAATTTATAATATCCATAAATAAACAGAAAAATCAATTTATTATCATGGTTTAGGAAAATATTAAATTTATTGATTAACATACCATAACATTAGCCTATGAGACAATTACAGTTTACTTTATTTATCTAAAAAATGTGATATTAATTGAAAAAAACTAATGTATCCGAATATTAATATTTTCAGAAAAATTTTAGCCCAATAAAATCGACTAAATTTATTATTCTAAAATATTATCAGTAAATAAAATTAGTAAATTGTAATGTAATCTTAGCAAATAACAACATTTTCGTATTGTTAATAGTATATCTCAATATTTTAAAAAATATCGTACATTATTGAATACAACATACTGTGTAAAAATTCATATCTACTAATGTAGACACTATGACTAGAAGACCATAGCTTTTTTAAGCCTCAACATTCCATACAAATTTTATTGTGAGTATGCTCATATGCAGGGGTTTTCTGTTCGGATTCAAATGCACAAAATATCGAAAAATAATTCTGAGTGTGAACAATATATCCAGTATTGCTCCAATAAGAAGGGATAAAAAAAATAGTAAAATTAACATAATAATACAACGTACTGCTCGGAGAACATCTCTGTTCCGTCGTATGATAACATGATGAGAAAAATGCACGAGACATGTACACGATGTGCTACAATACTTAACAAGGATTTTATAATTCTATGTACATTATATCTAAATATTTCAGGCATGTCTCTTTATTCTTCAATTAGCATAGTATAATTTGTGTTATATAGAGAATTGAATAATATTATATAAATTAAATATAATGAATTATGTATCGTAATTTGGATAAATTGTAATTACATAACTTAATTATCATAATTGTTATACTAGAAAAGTTAGTATTAATTTATTATTATTTTTTTAATTTATGTATTTTGTAGCAAATTACTAAATTGTAATAGCATATAAATTTACTTATATATCATATGCATATACTATCAAAAGCATTAAAAATATAATAATATATTTTATTAAATGATTATTTAAAATATATAGTGTAGGATCATTATATATTCTCATAATTTATTATTCTAAGAATAATTACGTTAATTATAGATGAAAATATATATTAATAAGATTATTATATTAAAAATTAAAAATATGCAATGCATACGTCAGTATGAGACATGGTATTTGAATATTATATAATTTTACAAAAATGAAGACATCATCTCATTAAATATATATATATATATATATATAAACTTTTAACATGATTTTTTATATAGATGTAACAGTCCATACACTGTAGTAAAATCCTTATTACTCAACACTCATTAATTTTTCTCATAAGAAAATATGGAATCCTCACTATTGACATCTTAACAACTCAATAATTTAAAAATTTATTATATTCTCATAGCCATTGGATTCACAAACAATAACCACTTAAAATATGTTTTCCTAATGTATTACCTCAAGGAATTGACATTTGAATGGAAAAGCTTCTGGTTGTTTATGCCGATCATCTTTTTTGACATACATAGAAATTGTGTGAATGTGGTTCTCATGATCTTGGAATTTGTCGCTTCTCAATATCTCTCTTGATTTCAGCCATTGAAATCGTCTAATAGATCGATGGAGACGAAGGAATTTAAATTGAGTTTGCACGGAGTTTAAACTTCACCGGACGACACCGATGGCGACTGAATCAAGACGTAAGGGATCTCGATTCGCGGCGTGGAAGGATATGAGAGGTCAGGGTGGTTGAACTACGGCGACTTCTTGTTGACGCCGCGACGAGAGGGTTTTTCGGACACAAGATAGGCAAGAGATTTTGGGGTTGTGAGTCGGTTGGGGTAGAGGGAGAATTAAATTAGTTAATTATTGTTTGATTTTTCTTGTTTTAGTTTTGTTTTATTTTTTTAATTGTTGAATGTACCAAATTTGTAAATTAATTGTGTTATGCGGAAAGAATATCAATTAATAAAAACATAATATTGAATGTTATAATAAAATATTATTTTAAGAGTGTTATATAATAAATACTTTGTATATAATTGCAATTTAAATTTCTAAAAATAAATTCTTAAATTTAGGTTGAATTTTTATAATCAATTTCTTTATTTTAAATAATGATAAATTGTAAATAAATCCAAAAAAAATATCATCATCTTGTCGTACTATTTACATTATTTTTAGATATTCTTCACATCATATCGGTCATGTGACATTTTAAATAATACATTATCTTGTTGCATTGTCGGGAGCATATGTCATATTGTTTTAGTTGTAAATATATCTGTTAAAATTTAATATATCAAATTTTTATATTTTGAAACAATTCTTATCTCCAAAAATAACATATCCAATTAATGTTATTGATTTTTTAAATTAAAAAGTCACACAAAATTTTTTAATACAATACCTTAATTACCCCTAATTATTATGAGTTACAAAATTATAAAATAAATGGATCTAACAGCTTCTATTAATTTAGCATGGTATTGAGCTTAATATATATTCAGCACTATATAAGCCACCATATTAAGTGTATTAGATATGATTTTATTCTTTACAAAATTAAATACATATTAAATATATTTATTAAAATATAATTTTAAAAATATTTTTAATACACAACTTGAATTTACTTCGAATAAAGAATGTGTTAAATTCTAATTCAAAGGGTAAAATCAGACTTACAACTAATTTCAAATGATAATCAAAAGATACCTTAAAAATTCCAAATTTCTCAAATATAAACTAAAGGACAATTGAATCTAGTTGGAGTACTAATATTTAGAATATTATGCCCATATGGAGATCAAATATGGTTTGGAGAGACATTTGAGTTAGGTCGGCAGATTTTACCCACTATTTATTATTTTCTCTCAATTAAAAATTAAATTAAAAATATTTATTTTTATTTTTATATTATACTAAATATTAAATTTATTCAAAATATCATATCAAATATATATTTATATCACATCATACAATTATTCAAATTCAAATTTTTTTACTCTTTAAATCCCAAACATAAAATTCCGTGAAGAGCCGTTGCCTTAGCAATACCTCCCAATCATTAATGAAATTTTGATGTAAAAATTTAGTATGTTTGTTTTTTCATTTCAAATAAAAAGTAAGAAAAATAGCATAAAAATTCATTGTGGTTTTCAAAATTTACTGAAAACCCCTTTTAGTCTTAAATTTTCATACTCGTAGTTCTAAAAATATTGCATAAAAAACTCTTAATGGTTATTGCAATTCACGCACCTAAATACAATTTCTCACCGGGTTGTATTTGCACACTATAGTGTATTGTTCGTAAAATTTGTTGTATTGTTCAATTGTGCTCACCTTAACATGTAAAGTACTAACTGTCGTATTCCCTTTTATCGACAGTCGCATTTTAAGCGTATGAAGTATAATCGTCGTTAAGTACTAACAGAAAGGGTTTTTATGCCATATTTTGAAAATCATGAATAAATAATATGAAATCTTAGAAATAATAGAGATTTTCAGCAAATTTTGAAAATCAAATAGTGATTTTATACTATTTTACTTAAAAAGTATCACTATTCAATCCGCACGGCTTTTTATAAAAGTACACTAAATTCTCTACAAAATATCAAATAAAAATACTAATTAAACCTAAACTCAAAATCAAAGCCCAAATTCAAACAAAACCATACAAATCCATTTGATTTACTTCAAGTGGATATGAATATTCTTGTGTATCAGTGCATTTTTTTGGCTAAGAAGTTTAAAGAGAAGACTGTACAATGGAGATGAAAAAACAAATGAAGTAGGGAGTTATTAAAGTAGAGAAGATAGTGATTAATGTTTTATATTGATTTCAATGTTTCTTGAATGCTTTAGGAATCAAAATAGAATGTAACTATTTTGCATAAGCAATTTTTTTTTTTTAATTAGGTGGTCGATTATGGGTTGGATTTTACTATTTCAAAAAAGTTATTAAATTAAAAATATTAAATTAAATATTTATTTTTTATTTATTATATTAAACTAAAATTTAATTTTATATTTAAAACCTCACACTTATAAATATTTATATCTCATCAAATTAACAACTATTTCAATTTAAAATTTTGTATATCGTCATCCTGTTTTGTATCTAATGCATTGATAACAATGCTATTATTCTTTAATTCGATTTATATACTTTTGGTGGTTAATAAATCAGCACATATAATAAATCACACCCAAAGAATATTCTTACACTTAATAGTGTTGGGCATTAGATATATCGATACCTCTAATATAGATTGCCTTTCGAGATAAAGGTTATAAACATGTAAACTAGTTGGTTGGGATATAGAATCAACTGATACATATCTTACATAAAAGATAATTTTTTATATTTTAGACGAGAATCCTGTAAGATATTGATTAGTTTAGATCTGACAAGAAAATTACCAAAGTCATATTCACAATATATATGGAGTGGATAATAAGACACATAAATTTAATGTCATTCGAAAAACTAATGAACAATTCACTTTATAACCATAGAGTAAAGTAGGCAGACAAGACGAATATTTGTTTATCCAATTTGGCCATCGATAAAACCTACATCTTGGGAGTATATGAGAGCATATGCAATGGGTTAGGGTTAAATTAGCCTCTATTAGGTGACTTGGAGCTTAGGTGATCTTGTTTAGAGTCTGACACAAATATTAAAACATAAAAATCGTATAATAGTTCATACAGCATTAGATAAATTTTAAAGCCGAAGAAATACTTCTTCGACACCAAACAAGTACCGTCATTTTGCTTCTATTCGAAAATCATTGTGTAATTATTTTTACCGCCTGTAATATAAGAAGTCTTTGTTGCAATTGAAGGCGGTCGAGTACAAGTTTTACAATTTGAATCTCCCAAATATCGCAACTCGAACCTCAATAAATTATAAAGTAATAAACTTATTATCAATGCAAGTGTGTTACCATCGATCGCAAGACACAAGTACAAGTTCAAGAACTCGAACCTCAATAAATTTTATTGTAATAAACCTACTATCCATGCAAGTATGTTGCCCTCGCAAGGCACAAATACAACTCCGAGTCTCCTTATATATATATATTTAGCTCTACATCAGATCAATTTCCCTAGCCAAAACTCTCCAAATACATGTTGATTCTTATATATGGATTGTCAAATTTTGAAATGAGTTACTACCCAAAACCCTCCAATTGAATCTTCTTAAAAATAACCATGAAAATTTCCCCATATTTGCTCATCCAAACCTCCTTCAAATTAAGTTCAAGAACTCATTTATTAAGAATGATTTGAGCAGAAGAATAGAATGTTACTTTTTAATACTCCTTCCATCCCAAAAGTATAGTCTTGTTGTGTTGGGCACGAGATTTAAAGAATATTGATATTATATTGGTAGTTGGTAAAAAGTAAAGATAAATGAATTTTTTGCCCTTGTGAGTACATTAGTGTAAAAAGTAGTGGCAATTGTGTAATAATAATAATAAAGTAAAGATAGTTTTACGATGATATGGTTATTTATGGAAATGAGACTATTGTTTTGGGACGGACAAAAATGGTAAACAAGACTATATTAGGACGGAGGGAATATATTTTTTGCTATGATATAATTAAAAAAACAAAGATAAAATACTGAAAAGATTGAAACTGAAACTATTTTACATTGTGGAGGGATGATATCTCAAACCATTGAGCACTTTTTGACATGCTTGAAGTTAAAAGTTTATTTCTCGTTAAAATGTGTCCATTTGAATAATGCAGTTCTCTCCATCTCAATTTGAATTATGCTACATTTGCAATTAATTTTCAAAATTGCATATTTTATTAATAATGGAACCATAAATCTATAAATAGATTAAATACAAATTGGATAAATCTAAATCAAAATAACAAATGTAATTGATATAATCAAACCATAATATGAACCAACTAAATAATATAAATAAAGCAAGGTTAGTAGATTTCCCATAAGGTCCTTCTTCGTGGAACACTGTATAAATAATACACATATACTCCCTCCATCCAGTTAAAAACTATACACATTTCTATTTTGGGACGTCAAATTACAAAGTAAATATTTCATTAAATATCTCGTTTTTTTCTACAAATACCCTTACTTTACATCACATTATTACTTTTATACCAAAAAACAAGGGCAAAAAGTAAATATATACTTTATCCGTGGACTGAGGGAGTGCTATTTATATATCATTTTTATTTAATATCAAATATTAGATTTATAAATAACTTATTTAATAATCTTGGTGATTTGGATCATAACTTGATTATTTATAATTATCGTTGCCATGTTAGATATATAATTGTTTTTTCTTCAATATGTAGTATATAAACACATGACAATTGACCATATATACACACACATATATATACTGATATAATAAAAGCACGCATGCACATGACATGCATAAATATGCTTAATTGCCTAAGCACGCAGTGCAAATAAACATGCATGCGCATGCATGCATCCACCCACCCACGCACCTACTTCCATTACTATTTATTTTATATATTATATTATATTATTCCCTTAATATTACAATAAGCCAATATATATTAGGCCACCTCGTTAATTAAGCTTTCTAGTATTGAGCAAATAAACAACCATGAAAATTAAAATAAAATAAAATAGTAATATTCAAAACTAATAGTTAAAGGTGTGTTTACTTGTGAGGTTTTGATTTTGATTTTTTATTTTGAATAGTAAAATTTTGATTTGAAATAATTATTTGATGTGATATAAATATGTATTGATGTGATTGAATGTAAAATAAGATTTTAGTATAATAAAAAAAATAAAAATCATGTGTTTGATTTGATGTTTTTAAAACAAAAAAAAAATGGAATAATAAAATTAGAGGTAAAATCTTACGAGTAAATATACCATTAGCATTACTATTTGATGGATTTTACTTTATAAAACTCTATTTAATAAAAAAATTCATGTAATTCTTTTCCATCATCACAGGAATAATGTAGTTAGATTATGGAATTTCAAATATTTAAACTTTATAAATTACACTAGTAAATTAGACTCTAAAAGTTTTTCTTGGTTGGAAAAGGATTATATCTCAATGAGTATCATTATAATTAATACCCTCCCAATCCTATATATTTTGCAATATTTTCTTTTTTGGACTGTGCTTCGTAATATTTTTAAAATAAAAAATAATATAGTCTCTAATAAATACTCCGTCCGCCCTACACGAAAATATTTGTATGAATTTTTATAATAGATTAAGAAATAATAATTTTTTTTAATTAGTCTGAAAATATGTGTAATAGTTTGTGTTTTTCGAAAATTAAAAATATTTTCGTATTAATGTGTAATTATCTTTATTATAATAAAAAATATATATTCTCTCTGTCTGATTGAAATGTTGACATTTTCTATTTTTGTTAGTCTCAAAACAATATTATCATTTCCTACTTTAGTAATTATACTAGTTACCTAAAATAATAAATATCTTTCAAACTTACATTATATTATACAAATATCATTATTTTTATATTACATAATACTAACATAATTATTTTTTGTCTTTTTTTTATTACAATCAAATATAATATTAATATTAAAAAGCTTATGTTAAAAAAGTAAACGCAACCTTTCAATGGGACGAATGAAATATTCTTAATGAGAAATACAAAAATGATAAGAAATTATATTTTTAGTTTGGACGGAGGAAGTATACATTATATTTTATCTCATCACATCAAAAAATATATATACATATTTCTCTCTCATATTACTTAATTCTCTAATTGATTTATTTAATACTACCCATTTAAATTTTTGTACCGAAAATTAAATATATCACTTAGTCATATGGAGAGTATAATAATTTGAGTTCAATTATTAGAATATTTAAGTGAAAAAGTTCATATTAAAATATAATACTCCCTCTGTCCCAAACACCGTGCAATATTTGTGTTTGATACGAGAATTTAGGTGGAAAGTATTAAATATGGTAATTTGAGATAATTTGGATATTAAGTGATGTGATTGGAGAGAGAAATGATTGTTTTTTTTTTTTTATTTGAGTGATGTGATGGGATAAAGTGAATTGTATATTAATATATGTATAAAAATATTATTAATTATTTTTAAATTTGAAAATATAGCAGCGAATTTTGGACAAATAAAAAAGAAAATATTGCAGAGTGTTTGGGACGAAGGAAAGGGAGTAGTATTTTATTGAAAAATAATTTTTAATAGTAGTATAATATATTTAAATAAAATAAAGACACATTTCCAAGGAATAATCCTCAAGGAAACTATTTGAGCATATGATGAAAACCAGTGGAATTTAGAAGACAGTGGCAACTGACACAAAGAACATCTAGGGAACTGGGAAAGCTAACAACTTTTGAAACCTACAAATCCATCTCATATACAGAATTAAAGAATAACAGAATTAAACCACCACTCTTTCATATCTCTGTACATATATACATACATAAATTTAAGATACAAATTTTAAATTTTTGAAAATTAGTAAAATATTATATATTTTATACGATATTTTTGTAAGAAAAAAATTATTTTATATATATATATATATTTTTGTTTTGAAAAAAATTGTTCATTTTATTATTTTTATTTGTATATCAAAAGGGTATTCATGTCATATTTAATAAAAATGTGCAATTATTCTTTAAATTTTTACCAACTATTTTCTTATTTATTTACACAAATTTCAGTGATGAACCCCTATATTTCTTACATATATTACATTTTAATTTTAAAATAATATTACTAACTCTATAAAATTTTAATGTTATCATTAAAGAAAAAATACACAAATAATATTAAAATTTTATTTTTCTTAATTTTGGTGTCCAAATATTTTGAGCAAAAACTTTAATGAGGGAGTATATATTTTTGTTAAAAAAAACTACAACTATTCAATATTACCAAAACTCTAAAAAAAAATGTGTAAATAATACTCCATTGGTAATGTAAATCTATGGTTATTTTCTTTTGTTGGGTCATTATAAAAAACTGTGTTTTTTTCTTTTAAATCTTTTTTGTATATTGTTTATTATAAAAGACAATATTATATTAATTATTAATAATTTTTATTAAAATTTGTATTTAAATATTAATTTGAGTATAAATTTAGTAAAGAAGTAACAAATAATAATAATATATAATAATTAATTATTCCACATAAAGTTAAAGTTTCAGTCTTTGTATTGGAGACTGGAAACACCAACACCCCTTTCATTAATTCCTTCAAAAATAATTTAATTTAACTCACAACCCCATATTTATAACCCCAACCAAAACTCTCAAAATTCCCACTTCTCTGCCTACAACTTCCACGTTTGTCCCAATTCACAAAAACATATTCACTACAGTCACAGACACACACATATATATATATATATGTATGTATATATGTATAGACAAGCTTAGAGCATAGAAGCTTGGGGAGAAGCAAACTACAAGCAGATTATACATTTTTGAAAAAAATTCTTTTTGGGAAGAAAGAATTGTGTGGATCAATGAATTGGTGAAAGAGATATGAAGTGTGTGATGGATTTGGAATTTTCAGATTGTGAGAAGTTAAGGGCCTGTTTGGATCGAAGAAGAAGAAGAAGAAGAAGAAGAAGACAAAGGCAATGTAGAAAGGAACAAAAAGTAGTACTTCAGTTATTACAAGGAAGACCTAATTCTACAGCCATGGCTGCCTGCTGCTGCTGCTACAATAATATCTATTCATTTTTTGTCGTCTTCTTGTTTCTTGTCTCCTCTTTTTGTCCAGTGCTGTCTCTAAATTTCAACGATTCCAATCACCAGTTCTTCCCTGGAAACGGAATTCAAAATCTCAAGCTTGTCAGGGCCCATGTCAAGAAAATCAACAAACCTTCTGTTAAGTCAATTCAGGTAATTAATTTTATAAATTAGGGTTTTGGACTCATCTTGTTCGGACAAGGAATTAATTAATTTCTTGCTTTCCATTTTTATTTTTATTTATTTAATTAAAATCTTTTTTGAATTTGAACAGAGCCCTGATGGCGATATCATAGATTGCATATTGTTTCACAAGCAGCCAGCTTTCGATCATCCCCAATTTAAAGGACAGAAGCCCTCGGTAAGCATTTGTACAAAAATAAAGTCAATTCAGCCCAAAACGGCGCCGTTTTGAGGAAAATGATCTAATTTTGCAGTATCCACCGGACCGGCCAAAGGGGCGGCGGCGCAAGTCGAACACGGGCGTGTTCAGGCAAAACTTTCAGCTGTGGAACACGGCGGAGGAGTCATGCCCGGACGGCACGATTCCGGTTCGGAGGACGACGGAGAAAGACGTTCTTAGAGCGAGCTCGATCCAATCATTTGGGAAGAAGATAAAGAAGCCTACTGTAAGAGATTCTTCCAGCAACGGCCATGAGGTCAGCCGCTCAATTAAACCTCATAAATATCGAACATTAATTAATTGCTGCAATCAATTTTTTGGATGAATTAATTAATTGTGAGAAATTGATTAATGAATAATACTGCAGCACGCAGTTGGGTATGTGAGTGGAAATGAATACTACGGAGCGAAAGCAAGCATCAACGTGTGGGCCCCACGAGTAGACAATCCCTACGAATTCAGCCTGTCGCAGATGTGGGTCATTGCAGGCTCCTTTGGTGATGATCTCAACACCATTGAAGCTGGCTGGCAGGCATGCCATACCTTTTTTTAATTTAATTTAATTTAATTTAATTATATATATATAAGTATATTTATATATATATTTCATGGCTTCTCCAACAGGTGAGCCCGGAGCTTTATGGGGACAACTATCCTAGGTTCTTCACATATTGGACTGTAAGTATGGCTATTCATGTTTAACTAGAGCCTTGAATCAGTCGAGCGAGCTCGAGTATTTTTTTTGTTTGAGTCCCACTCGACTCGAGTATATTATCAATAGAGGCTCAACTTGATTAATTTATGATTCAAATCAAAATATTGCTTTAAACTCGACTCTACTTGGTTAGAATTCAAGTCAAAATACTGGCTTGAAGTCAGCACATTAGGCTTGACTTCAAGTATGCTCGAGTATCGGCTATTTGAGTTCGACTCGAATATGTTATTGGTAGAGATTCTACTCGATTTGTTTATGAGTCAAAATTAAATACTGGCTTGAGCACAACCCGGCTTGGTTATGAATTGACCTAAAAGATAGGTTCGAACTTGATACATTAGGCTTGACTTCGAGCTCAAGTTCCGCTCGCAGTGCTCAAATTCGAACTAGATTTTGGTTTAAATAAATACAATTTGTTATATTAAAAAAGTAAATATATATATTATATTAATATATAAAATAATACAAATATATCATTATTGACGGGCACATGTCGAGCTATACACCAACCTAGCTTGAGTTTGCCTCATTTATAGAAATAACAATTTTCAACTTCGGTGCTCGTTTATTTCTATAAATGAGTTGAGTCGAATTTGAATTGTGAGCTACTCGATTCATTCAACTACTTAATACTCTCTTTGTCCAAGTAAGAAATATACATTTATTTTTTGTACGAAGTTTAAAAGATAATAGTATTTTCATTATAGTAGACAGTAATGTAATGATATTTTTGCTTTTACTTTTTGGTATAAAAATAATAATGTGATTTAAAATAAGAATATTTGTGAAAAAAAAAAATATTTAATAAAATAATTACTTTTGTAATTAAACGTTTTAAAATAGAACTACATAGATGAACAGAGAGAATATTTAACTAATACATTTATTTATTTATTTATTTTCTTAACTTATTGAGAATGTAATGAAATCTGATTTGATGTGGTTGCAGAGCGATGCATATCAGGCAACAGGGTGTTACAATTTGTTGTGCTCAGGGTTTGTTCAGACAAACAACAAAATCGCCATTGGAGCTGCAATTTCTCCTACTTCAGCCTACAATGGCGGCCAATTCGACATCAGCTTATTAATATGGAAGGTGGGTAAGTTATTATTATTATTATTATAATATTAATTCCAGACAAAATTTTTTTAATCAAGATTACTTTGCATTTTTTAATAATCCCTTGTCGGAATTGCATAATTAAGAACAGTAATCTTTGGTGATGAGTTAAAGCACTACTTTTTTCCTGAATTGTTTTTCTTTATATCCCTTTATTTTAAATTAGTATTTTTTTGGGAACTGAGAAATGAGAATGAATAATGATGGGGGCGTGGTGGAGAAAGTGACTGTAGACCCAAGCTTTCATAGATTACAATGCATGTGTACAGATGATTGATTCTTGGAAAGCAAGCGCCGGGACTTCAGATCCAGATTAGCTATATATCGATCTGGTGTTGGAAGTCCCGGATCCCTCACGAATCACACCCCAATGTAATAAACACCACTGTATTAAGTAATTGCCCTAAAACTACAAGTCCTGCAGAGACACAATTATTCTGCTTTATGCCCTTTTAGTGCTTTCCAAGATTCTTCCCACACTTGTTTTCCAAGCAAAGATATCATCGATTTATCCATTCCCTCCAATTCACTTTCCCAATTATATGGTTCAATTTTTTATTTTTTTTTTCTTTTGTTTATTTTATTTTTTCATTTTTGTTTGAAACTGAACGAAATTCGATTTATTTGAAATTGTCCAACAAATCAAACTTATTGCATTTCCTATGTGATTATGTTTGATGTTTTTCAGTCATCCGATATCAGTTAGAGTCTTGAAACGATGTTTTTTTCTATTTTGTAGGGTTTTTCTTCTTTATTTTTTAATTTTTGCAAATATTTTATTCGAAATTTAGTTCTTTCAGGCTTTAGTTTAAGATGTAGTTATTATATTTTCATTTTTTCAGCCATTTCAGAGTTTTTTTTTTTTTTTTTAATTTGTCATTTGAGGGTATTTAGTATTTTAATAGGATGTTTTTTTTTTTATTATTATTTTTAAAAATTTTTAAGATTATTTCTTTAATAAGCTTTTTCCGATATTCTTAGTTTGAATTTATTTCGTTTCTGCTTTAGGGTGTTTGAACTTCTAGGTATTTAATTGGAATTACTTTCGATCTTTGATCAAAATATTTATTTTTCGTCAATCTCAAATTGTGCAATTGACATTATTATAACTAACAACAAAATTAAAATCGAAGAAACCATTCATTAAATTAATTAATTCAATGATTGGCACTGCAGGATCCCAAGCATGGCAACTGGTGGCTGGAATTTGGGAATGGAATCTTGGTAGGGTACTGGCCATCGTTCTTGTTCAGCCATTTGAGGGATCATGCAAGCATGGTTCAATTTGGTGGGGAGACAGTGAACAGCCAGAATGAGGGTTTCCACACGTCGACACAAATGGGTAGTGGCCATTTTGCAGGCGAAGGGTTCGGAAAAGCATCGTATTTCAGGAACCTGCAGGTGGTGGATTGGGACAACAGTTTGGTCCCTTTGTCGGATCTTAAGGTTTTGGCTGATCATCCAAACTGCTACGACATTCAGGGAGGGAGCAATGGGGTTTGGGGGAATTATTTTTACTATGGAGGGCCTGGGAAAAACCCTAGGTGTTCTTGATTATATATATATATATATATATATATTATTGATTCATCGATTAATTCAAGACGTACAAGAGAAGAGGGTGGGTATGCATGTGGTGATGTTCTGTATATGTTTTTTTTGTGTTTAATTCTTTTACATGTTGTATTTGGTAAATTAAATGGGATGGATATTGTTATTAGTTGGAAATATACAAGAGAACTCTCAATACTAAATACTCAACACTCTACAAATCCACAAAAAGACTTTAAACAAGATGTTAGAAACAATATCTTCTAAAAAGCTTAATAACTAAGATAAATTTTAATTTCCAAAATTGATTGTACAAACTTCCAAACGATAGCCATTATATATGCAAGACTTGGAACTGAAAGATGAGAGAGAGGGATTATGATTTTATTATCCATATAAATAATACATGGTTACAACAAAGAGATCCATAATTAAATAATCAAATCAATCTATACATAGAATCAATATTGATCACAATTAAAATTTATATATATACTAATGATGTTCCTTAACACCCCCCCCAACCGTTGCGTGAGATGGAAGCAAACGCAATGGTTGGTCCGTAGAAGTTCGAAAGCTGGCCGAGAGAGACTCTTAGTGAAGATATCGGCAAGTTGCAGATGAGACGGCGCAAACATTGTTTGTAGTTTACCTGTAAAGACTAATTCGCGAACAAAATGGCAGTCAATATCGATGTGCTTCGCTCGTTTGTGGCCAATAGGATTCAAACTCAGAAAGAAAACAATATTGTTATCACAAAGGAGCAATGGCTTAGATGTAGGAACTCGCAGCTAGCGAAGCACATTTGAAAGCCACGCAACTTCTGACGCAGCATTGGCACAATACTCAGATTCAGAAGAGGAGCAAGCAACTTTGAGTTGTTTTTTCGCACTCCATGAGACAAGATTCCCGCCAAGGAAGATGGAGAAGCCATAAGTAGAATGACGAGTGTCGACACGTCGGGCCTACTCAACATTGAAATAGCCAACAATGGATAGCCAGGCTATTGACTAATTGAAAGACTGAATACGCTCGAGTGCATTGAAATGATCCTTAGTTGGAGATTAAAGAAATTGGTTTACAAGATTGACTGTGTAAGAGAGATCAGGCCGAGAAATAGTTAAGTATTTCAGGGCGCCTACTAAAGAGCGAACAAATGTCGCACCAACCGCCAAGGGTTTGAGTCCAACATCTTTGCAAGAGCTAAGATGTCATGTGCATACTTTGCTTGACCAATGAAAATTCTACCAAGTTGATTTGATATTTGGAGGCCAAAGAAGTAGTTAAGAGCCTCAAAATCTTTGACCGCAAATTCAGTACTGGCATCTGTACTAATGGTAAATCAGAAAATGTGCATTGTGATATTGAAACTGATGTTATTTCTGATTCTTTGTTGTGTATGAAAACTGTTGTTAAGAAACACACTGATTTTGTGAACGAAAATATTGTAATCTCTTATATGGATAGTGTATTATATAATGAGGAAATTTGTGAAAATGATTTTTTTTTTTTTTGATGATTTTTGTATTATATCTGTTGTTGGGCAATTTATTGTGAATAAATTTGAAAATAGAGTTTCTGAAATTAAAAATAATATTAGAATTGTTTCTGATAATAGTAATGAGATAAAAAAAAAAAATTTACCTATTTGTTAGAGATGAGATTATGAATAGTCCTAAAGTATTCTTTATGTTTAGTAATTTTGATTCATCTTTCTTTGCAATATGATACATTTGAGAATTTATATATAGATGAACCTATAACTGATAGGAAAATTAATCCTGAAAGTAAGTCTCACTGCTTGGTATTAAAAGAAGATGAGAACTAATTAGTTGATAATAAAAGTTTGAATTCAATTCCTAAACTTTGTTGTTGGCTCTATTGTGTTATTTTATTATTGATTATGAATAATATGAAAATTATGAAGTTTGCTACTGTATTAGTTTGTATGTTGTGTCTTATATGTGTTAATTGTATGATACGTTTACAATGCATAGTTCTGTGCTTATTTGACCGGACGCGAGTTTTAAGAAAAATATATAAAAATAGAAATTTTTACTTTTTTTTTTTGGTAAAGAAAATTAGTTTTTTTTTTACTAAAAATGAAACATGATTAAATTTGGATGACAACATAAAAAGGAAAGTGAGAATAGATTTGAACGACAGAAGAAGTATGTTTTTTCTTCTTGCATGTAAGTAAATCCAATATAAGGCAATGATGACCCCAGTCACCCATAGCCAAAATTAGGTGGAAGATTGTTATAAAATTTTGGTCTATGATCATTTTTTAGACCAATATTGTATCCATACACCACACACAGTGGCCCAAAATTGAGTCTTGGTGTGACCCGGATCTTTGACCCGCGACCCTTGCGCCTAACCCGACCCGCGTCTTACCTGAGATTTAATATACACCGTCTGATTAAGGTTTTGCATTTGCGTCCTTCATTATTCCCTAACCGTACAAATATATTTGGAGATCGGAGGACAGCTCTCAACTATTTTTCACAGTCTCTCTCTCTACATAACTCACTCACATATTCTTCTCACTTCTTTCTACACTCATTACGCGATATTCTTGAGCCTGCCTTATGTGGAGTTCCTTCTCTTGTTCTTGTGGAAATCGAAGCTCGAATCCATCCCCTTGTTCGACATCCTAAAATGCGCAACACTTGTTCGTCGATGGTTGTTTTTCGGTTGTTATTATGTGGCGCTTTTTGCCGTTGTTTGTACCGTAAGCCTTCGTTTCTTTGTCGTTGGGGTCTTGTGAAGGATTTATGGCTGATTCTTTTGTGTATGTTGCATTTCTATATTGTATGTATCGATTTTGTATTACTTGGGTGATTTTGGGGTTGATCCTAAATCTAAGCCCAAGTTCAAACTTTTCTTTTTTTTTTTTTTTTTGATCGGGTAGTTCAAACTTTATTAATATTACTGTTGGGTTCATTCTCGGATCTTTATTTTTCATAACAGATACAATTTTAATATATAAATTTTTTTCATAAGAAATTAACATTCAACATTAAATATTATTTGTTATTTTAATTACCGACACAATTTTTTTATATTTTATATTAAAAAATATTTTAAGTTAAATTACTAAATAAACACATCCATAATTTATTGAATTTCATATACTCTCTCCGATTCGAGTCAAAGTATTCATTTGACTTTTGTATGCAAATTTAGATTTTTAATATTGTATAGATGTGCAGTAAAACAGAGGTGTGTAAAATCTAATTTACGATTGACTTTAATGAGATTATACGAAAAGTAGAGCTATTATGGTATTTAGTTGAGATGTACTTTTACTAATTAAAAAGGAACGAATATTTTTTATTTGAACAGACAAAAATAGCAAAATTGATACATTTGACTCGGATAGAAAAAGTATCAAATATATATATTTTTAAATAACATAGTTGTATTTTACCATATAGTTATTACGTCAGTACTTCTAATTATGAGATATGCATATCTTTAATAGATACTTTTGACTCGAATAGAAAAAGTATCAAATATATATAAATACTTTTTAATATCCAGTTGTATTTTCTTATGTATTTGTTACGTGAGTAATTCTAATTGTGAGATATGCATATTTTTAGTAGATTTATAAAAAGAGAATGAATTATCTATATAATTTCTTCTTTAGAGATTTTAAAATATTTTAAGATATAAGTGTATTAACATATGAAATGATAAAGAATAATAATAATTTTTCCTTAGTAAATATATCAGACTATTCACTCAGTGTAATAAATTATTTTTTTTTTTGTGTGTGACATGAGAAAGTGTTGGTAATATAAATAATAATATTTTGTATTGAATGGTTGACTTTTTATGAGTGGATAATATATACTATATAATATTAATGTAAAATTGTCCATACTCCCTTGTGGTTTCAAAACTCGGCATAAATCCTTCTTTTATTTTAAAAATTACACGGAGCCCCCTTTTACTTTAAAAAACATTGCATGAAACTCATCCGTAGTTTCGAAACTTAGTATAAATCTTCACTTTACTTAAAAAAAATTGTATGACATCCCTTAATCTTTCAAAAATATTGCATGAAACCCCCCGCTATGCAAAAAAAAAAAAGGATAAAAAATCATCTTCTCATCACACAATGCAGGTTTCATGGGGCGGAGTTTCATGCAACGTTTTTTAAAGTATAGGGGAGTGCCATGCAATTTGTAAAGACATGAAGATTTTACGTAGAATTTCGAAATCATATATTTATATTTTTTTAATAATACTTATGTAAAATTATTCCATTGAAAAATACTGATTGAACATACTGTATATGAAAAAAAAAATAAATTAATATTTGATGAGACATTAATAATATTAAGGAGTTACTACATATAATTATAGGGAAAAATATAAAAGAAGCCAGCAATTCATTGTTCAACTCTCTTAGTTATACATACATTTGATTGATCAAGACTACAATCTCCAATATAATGAATATTATAAAATTGAATTGTGTGAAAATTTTGTTCATTTGTTCTAGTGATTTTCATATTGAAATATATATCATCCATTCAACAATTATATTATTTATTTGTTTATATACTCCATTCACTCAAAGTATTCTTTCGTTTATTTGTCCCAGTGGTTTTCATATTGAAAATATATATTATCCATTCAATAATTATATCATTTAATTTTATATAAATATCAAAATACCTCTAAATTTTACAAAATTATTCATTTTATTTGTATTTGTAAGGCCAAAAATATCAAAATAAGCTTACAAATTTTCACTAACCAATAAAATAATATTATTTGTTAATTGGTAAATTATATACTCCTTATAGTTTAAAAAATACATAAAACACTTCGTGTTTATTTATTGTGTAAAATTCATTTTTGCTAATAAAAGTTTGCAGAAAATACTTTTTTTGTTCAAAGCTGATGTTTAGGTGTAATATGAACCTAATTATACAAATAAAAGACATAAATATATTACATAATCATTTTCGAATAAAATAAATAAATAAATAACTGATTAATTCTTCATTTTATAATTTTACTGATGTTTAGGTGTGATACGAAACTAATTATGCAAATTTTATACAAATAAAAGAGATAAATATATTATATCATTATTTTTGAATAAAATAAATAAATAAATAATTGATTAATTGTTCATTTTATAATTTTATAAAAATAA